CCAAGCACACCCAACAAAGCCAGCCGCCCCTGAATGCTCCCGTTTGGCGGAGCGCAAATTTATGCAACGTGTGTTGCGTCACTTATCACTTCTTACGTAGACGCCGTCTCCGTGCGCCGCTGAAAGTAGTTCGCCGCGCCCAAACTCCCGAAACGTAGTTTAGGCTTTTCAACTGAGCCACAAATTCCTCATAGCCGTAAGGAAGGATCCTAACAAATTATGTCCCTTCTTCTCTATGCGCTTCTCTTCCTTCTTTAGGAAAATATGAGAAAATTATAGGGCGGATGAATTCGAGTTAAAGAAACCTTCCTCGAAAGCTCTGGAAACTTCCTTGCAGCGCCGGCACTGATTGGTTAGGCCTGCGAAGGCGAGGTCGGCGCTGATTGGTGGGGGACGCAGTGACTCTATTGTTGCTGGGCTCCGCCTGGGGTGGTTTAGCGCCGACGTTGCTAAGTAACTGAGTGCGCGTGCGCTGCACGGGCGCGCCTTCCTGAAAGAGGGTATTTCCGGCGGGAGAAGGAGGAGGGTGTTTGTTTTTTTTCCTTTTTTTTCTTTTTTTTTTTACTGAGAGGGAGTTTCGCTCTTGTTTCCCAAGCTGGAGTGCAATGGCGCGATCTCGGCTCACCGCAACCTCCGCCTCCCGGGTTCAAGTGATTCTCCTGCCTCAGCCACCCGAGTAGCTGAGATTACAGGCATGCGCCACCACGTCCGGCTAATTTTTTGTATCTTTAGTAGAGACGGGGTTTCACCATGTTGGCCAGGCTGGTCTCGAACTCCGTACCTCAGGTAATCCACCCGCCTCGGCCTCCCAGAGTGGGCCGCCCCGCCTCAGAAGCGGGACGGCATGGCACCTGATGTCGCGACACCTGGTGGTGATTGTGAAGCACAGTTCCCTGTCCCATGTTTTAAAAAACACACGCCCCTGGTCGGGCGCGGGGGCTCACGCCTGTAATCCCAGCACTTTGGGAAGCCGAGGGGGGGTGGATCACGAGGTCAGGAGTTCAAGACCAGCCTGGCCAAGATGGTGAAACCCTATCTCTACTAAAAATATTTTAAAAATTAGCCTGGCGTGGTGGCAGGCGCCTGTAATCCCAGCTACTTGGGAGGCTGAGGCAGATAATTGCTTGAACCCAGGAGGCAGAGATTGCAGTAAGCCGAGATCGCGCCACTGCACTCCAGCCTGGCGACAGAGCGAGACTCCGTCTCAACAAACAAAAAACGCGAGCCCCTCATACACTGGCCAGTTGTTTTTGCTTTTTTGAGACAAAGTCTGGCTCTGTCCTGCATGCTGGAGTGCAGTGGCGTGATCATTGCTCACTGCAGCCTCGACCTCCAGGGCTCAAGTTATCCTCCCACCTCAGCCTCCCAAGTAGCTGGGACCACAGGCGTGGAACACGCCTGGTTTTTAAATTTTGTATTTATTTTTTGAGACAGAGACTCGCTCTGTCACCCAACCTGAAGGCCAGTGGCATGATGTGGCTCACTGCAACCTCCGCCTCCCTGGTTCAAGCGATTCTCCTGCCTCAGCTTCCTGAGTAGCTGGGATTACAAGTGCTTGCCACCATGCCCGGCTAATTTTTGTATTTTTCAGTACAGGCGGGGTTTCACCATGTTGGTCAGGCTGGTCTTGAACTCCTGACCTCAGGTGGTCTGTCTGCCTCGGCCTCCCAAAGTGCTGGGATTACAGGTGTGAGCCACCGTGCCCGGTCTAATTTTTTTGATTTTTTTTTTTTTCTTTTTTTGGTAGATCAGAGTCTTGCTATGTTACCCATGCAGTTATTGAACTCTTGGGCTCAAGAGATCTGCCTCCCTCGGGCTCCCAAAGTGCTAGGATTACAGGCATGAACCACCGTGCCTGGCGGACTAGCCATTTTTTTATTTTTGTTCATGGTTATTGCAGGGTTGTGGAGCTTTAAATCATGCTTCTGTAGTCAGAGTGCTCTTAATTGTGTTGTCTTAATCCTCATCACGGCCCTAGGACAGTCTATAAATCTGGAGTTCAGAGTGGGACCCTCTGCGGGGACCGGGCACCTGTTGCTGAAGCCCCTCACCACCAGGCCCAGAGAGGCGAGGCTAGAGTCCAGGGTGACAGTGGCTGGGCTTCTCTCTGGCTCCGGCAATACCTGCAAATCCAGTCCTTTCCTGTTGTTTCTCCAAACTGGTAGGAAAAAAAGTGCAGATTAGGGAGCCGAAACCCCATTTCAAGAAATGGTAATTCACCTATAAGAAAGTAGCTGATACTGCTCCCATTGACGTGCTTGTTGTGCAAGGGTGGGGTTAACCAGCTAGGACCAAGTGACGGGTTTCCCTACCCCCTGGGTGTGGCCACTCGTCCTGCAAGGAGATAACCCAAGGAAGGTGAGTAAGGCAGATGTGTTTGGATCCTGGTGCCTGGCAGAGTCACGGGGGTGGGGTGGAAGTAAACATGAAATTGCCTGTTTTTCACGTGATACCAACCTTCATAATGTAAGAAGTAGTCTAGAAATGTGCATATTAATACAATTAAGTAAACATCACTTAGGTTGCTAATCACTAAATTCAACATACCTGATCATAATGTTAAGAAACTGTCGACAAATGAGCTGGTATATGAGTTAACACCTAGACAGCTTTCAGTTAAATTAAGTAAAACCGGAATCTACTGTCTCCTGATGTGAATAAGCAGGAGATAGAAATAAACAGTTTAAGATAATTTTGGAAGTGATTTTGAACGACTTGGGAGGTAGTTTATAAAACGTTTATTTGATTATACAAAGTATGGATTTTCCTTTTTGTTAGCCTAACAGTGATTCTGAAATTTGTTTCACCAACAAGCAGCTCCTCCTGAATCATACATGTTGATCGAAGAATGAGCTAGAAGGCAGATCTCATGACTGGTATAATGACTTCACTGGGAAGTTCTAGCAGTTGCTGGAACTTATAGTTAGTCATACAGGCTCCTGGTTCAGTGTTTTCCCAAAGTAGGTAATTTGGTAACTTAAGATCAAGAATTTGGTAATCTGGCACAGTAGGCACTGTGCTCAATAAGTGTTTGTTCAGTGACGAAAATGCAATTTTCTCTTTTGTTCAACTGGAGAAAAGAAATTTTGTGACAGCCTTGAAACACAAAGCAAAAAGACAGTAGAGTACTGTATTTCGTCGCCATAGGCAAACGGTATTTGCCCTGGCAGTTCCTTCAAAAGAAACAAAGGGGGATTGATTCTGAGATCTAAGTGATTTTACTTGGCTAGATGCCTTTTAATGAAAATCTGTGAGAAAACTGTAGTTCCAATTAAAAGTTCATAGTTGTTTTGTTGACATTATTTGGTGATGTTTAAAATGTGGAATTAATCTCTGATTTGTCAATTCCTTTATATTTCACATTTGGCTATTTCAATACAATTATGTAATTAACTCCTGATTTTTTACAAGCAAGTGAGAAACTTTGATATTGAATGCCCAAAGGAACACAGAGCAAAATTCTGTACTGTTTTCTTGTTAGGCCTGAAAAGTACAGAAATCTATCCATTAAAAAATAGCTACTTTAGGCAGGTTGCAGTGGCTCACGCCTGTAATCCCAGCAGTTTGGGAGGCTGAGGCAGGTGGATCACTTGAGTCCCAGGAGTTCAAGACCAGCCTGGCCACCATGGCAAAACCCATCTCTACTAAAAATACAAAAATTATCTGGGCGTGGTGACGCACTCCTGTGATCCCAACTACTTGGGAGGCTGAGGCATGAGAATCCCTTGAACCCAGGAGGTGGAGGTTGCAGTGAGCTGAGATCACACCACTGCACTCCAGCCTGGGTGACAGAGTGAGACTCCATCTCAAATACAAACAAACAAAAAATAGCTACTTTAAATGTTTTTTTTAACATATTTATTTATTTATTATCTATTTTAGAGTATCTGTTGCCCAAACTGGAGTACAGTGGTGCAATCATAGCTTACTTCAGCCTCCAACTCCTGGGCTCAAGCACTCCTCCTGTGTCAGCCTTCCAAGTAGGTGGGATTACACATACAAGCCGCTCTGCCTGGCTACAATATTGTTATGAAATATTACATAAATTCATGAAAGCTGGAGGTAACAAACCAAATAGCATATAATCCCCAATTTGCTTAAGCATTTAAAAACTTTTTTTTTTTGGCCAGGCGTGGTGGCTTATACCTGTAATCTCAGCACTTTGGGAGGCCAGATCACCTGAGGACAGGCGGTGGATCACCTGAGGTCAGGGGTTTGAAACCAGCCTGGCCAACATGGTGAAACCCCATCTATACTAAAATACAAAATTAGCCAGGCATGGTGGCGCATGCCTGTAATCCCAGCTACTTGGGAAGCTGAGACAGGAGAATCACTTGAACCTGGGAGGCGGAGGTTGCAGTGAGCCAAGATGTTGGCATTGCACTCCAGCCTGGGCAATAAGAGCGAAACTCCGTCTCAAAAAAAAAAAA